GGAAGATATGGGGGCAGTGACAGATTTTATTTTCTTGGGCTCCATGATCACTGCAGATAGAGACAGCAGCCACGACACTAAAAGATGCCTGCTTCTTGGGAGGAAAGCGATGACAAACCTTGACAGCATCTTAAAAAGCAGAGACATCACCTTGCCAACAAAAGTCCGAAGAGTCAAAGCTATGGTTTTTCCTGTCGTGATGTCTGGAAGTGAGAACTGGACCATAAAGAAAGCAGACCGCTGAAGAACTGATGCCTTTGAATTGTGGTGCTGGAGGAGGCTCTTGAGAGTCCCCTGGACTGCAAGGAGAACAAACCTATCAATTCTAAAGGAAATCAAACCAGATTGCTCAATGGAAGGACAGATCCTGAAGCTGAGGCTCCAATACTTTGGCCATCTCATGAGAAGAGAAGATTCCTTGGAAAAGACCTTGATGTTAGGAAAGTGTGACAGCAAGAGGAGAAGGGGACAACAGAAGATGAGATGGCTGGGCGGTGTCTGCGATGCAACCAGCATGACTTTGACACAACTACGGGGGGCGGTGGAGGATAGGAGGGCCTGGCATGCTCTGGTCCGTGGGGTCATGAAGAGTCGGACACGACTAAACGACTAAACAACAACAATGAATGATCAGTCAGTTTGGCATCAATACCAGGAAAGTTTCTAGAACATATTAAGCAGTTAGCTTGTGGGCATTTAGAAAAGAGTGCAGTTCTGCTGCATGACTCTTAGAAATGTGTTTCTGCTATCAAGAGATTCTTTTAGTTTCTGTTAATTTCACCATCAATATAAGTTATTCCTTGGTTTTTTAAAGCATACTCATTGTCCTCTTGCAGAACTGGATGCAATATTTGTCTTGCTTTTTCCTAACTGGTTTAAGTAAAAGCAGCTGCTTTTATTTTGTCACTAGATGCCACACCAACCTAATAAATGTGTTAGAATAGTAGAACACTAACCACCATATATTTAATAGGTGAAGTCAGGGAAGATGAAGAAAAGATTGTTCAAATCTTTGCATCTGGAGGAGTGTATTTAGACCACTTAAAAAACAAACCCCTGCTCTTTTACCCACACAAACCATAAGCAATAAATTTGTGCTTAACATTAGCTTTGAAACAGTGTTTCTGTTGCAGTTTTGTTATGAAAGTGAAAATATGATACTGTATTTTTAAAAAGTCCTTCAATCTCTGGTCTCACCAGTTATGAAACGAGATGCTTTGAGTAAATTATAATTTGATATTTGGAACAACTACATATGAACCATATACAGTGGCAAAACTGCATTTCTATTTTAATTAATTTGTTTAACAATTACCTTCCAGAAAAATGAGCTTTTCCCCCAATTCATTCACCATCTAAAATGTCCAACTGTGCTATGAAAACTGCCTTTTTTCTCATTACTGTACTTTTGTTCTCAGTTATACAAGAAACCTGAATCGTTCTTTTAAGATGGTGATAAATTCCAATAACAACTGGAATTTCTATTTTTTTTAAAAAAAATCAGTCAATGGCTGGGCAATCAGCCATTATGTCTTCCTTAATCTTCAAAACAATCCAGGATGTTACATTATGAGCACAAACTATTTAAGTGTGTATCTCTCCACCCTGTTAAGAGGCTGACCGTGCAAACTTCAGGACTTCAACATCAAAAGATTGTGCCTGCTATCCTCTGGATAACAGGAGATCTAGAACTAACATTAAATATTACCTGGCTGTAGATTGTGGAATCTTTCTGACAGACCAACTTTGTCTGGAACCTACATAACAATAGCTCAGCTGTTGCATTCAGGAAAATCACTATACATGCAGCTGAAGTAGGTCACTCAAGGGAATCTCAACCAAGATAAACTCACTTGTTTATGGTGGGTTGCCAGCATTTTTGCTGCTTGGAGGTTCACTATGAGTCTCATCTCTCCCTGTGTTTCTAATGGTTGAGACTGAGCAGAAGAATGTACTGGGCAAAGATGGAGCAATGTAACAAAACAGATATAATACTGTATTATGCAAGTGTGCTTAACAATTTTCTTTTCAATGTTAAAACAAGGAGAGAGTGGTACACTGGAGCCAGGGCTCGCAAAGGTGAAGCTTTTGGATTTTCTGATTAGGAGAACCTAGGAAATCATCTTTTGCCATCCCTGGCTTCCCTGTTTCCTTCATGTCTGCCTTTAATCCTCACCATATTTGGGAGAGAAACAGGTATTTTCAGGGACAGTACATTGTTACAAGAAACCTTTGGTGTAAGGCAAAGGATTTGTGGGTGGCTAAGTATGATGTAGTGGATAGAGTGACAGACTAGAATTCTGTTAGAACAGGGTTCGAATCCCTGCTCAGCCACTGAAGCTCACAAGGGGAGTAAAACCACTCCTCAAATATGTCACTTACCTTGAAAGCCCTATTTAGGGTCGCTATAAGTCAGTCCCGATTTAAAGGCTCAGAACACCCATGTGTGGTCTGGCATGGACAATTAAGAGTCACTAGCTTTGCAAAAGGTCTGCTCCTCATTTGTTAATATCCACCGATCTAGCTCCCAGAGGGGACGATTTGGGCCTGTCAGTTCCAAATTATATGGAGTGATGAGTATGTTAACCCCTAAAACGTTGACGTCGCAAGTTACTTCGCGCAATCTCGTTAAACAAACGTCCGGGAACCCCAGCCTTTCTCGCCTCATCCCTGACCCGCCGACCGGCGCCTAACCAGGGCTCACGAAGGCCCTCCGGACAAGGTTTTGGAGCGCGGGCGGCGCCCATCGTGATGCGGACGAATCCACCATGCCACCCTCGGCCGCCAGGGGGCTTCCTTGAGGCGACTCTGCTGGGTATCCTAGCAACGGCCGAGCCAGGGTGTGACCGGCGGGGCGGCCTTTCCTAGGAGCTCACTTCCCAGGGTCCCCGCGCGGGGGCAGGGCCTGGCCTGGTGTGAGGGCCGTCGCTTGTTCCCCTCGGTCTGGGTCCGGGGGAGCATGGAGCAAGGGCTCTCCGCCATTACCCTCTACTGCGCTCCCGCCGCCGTCGCCGTCACCGCCTGCGCTATGGACCAGGAGCAGGTGAGTCCCCGCGCCGGGAACGCTCGGTGTACCTTTCCGCGAGAGGGAGGCACTCCTGCCACGCCTCGGCCTTCTTCCTGTCTGGGCAGGAGCGGTGAGGGTCGCCCTGCCATTCCCTCGCCGGGGAGAGGGAAGAGGAGGAGGAGGTGGTGGTGGTGGGGGTGCCCTTCCAGGCTTGACAGCTTGGGAGCTCTGCCTTAGGTAGGTCTCCCCTGGGAGAGGCTTGGCAGAACAGGGAAGCGGTTATTATTTTCTTTATAAGTGGCTAATCCAAAAGTGGTTCATTTTTTTAAAAAAAACAATACCTGATTAAAATAAACTGAACATTGTGTCTTTATCCTTGTGACACCAGGCGGGCTTGCAACTCCTAGAGGGTGAGGAGGGCCAGACCTTTTGTGAGGAAGGGCTGTTGGGCTTGAACACTCAAGAGGCAGCGTCATGGCTTCAGAAGGCATTGTAATAGCGCCCAGTCAGCCACACATCTGGAGCTTTGAATTGAAAATCTGGGTGGTGCATGACCTGTTTATTCACTAGGTTTTTAGCTATGGCGTGGCTGCCTTTCGTTGCTCCTCCACCACGTTCCAGTTCTAATGCTTTTTCTGCAACATTTCTTGTACATACCAGCCAGTCTACCATGATTCAGTTTGGGATAACATGATCCTTGGAAGTATGCCCACTGTGATACTTACTTATTGTGATGATGCTTTTTTGCAGTACAGAAACGATTTTATTACAACTCTTCTTATCCCATATTTCAAGAAACAAATCCTTTTAAGAGAGGTTAGAAGTGTCATGAAAACCTATTGATAAGAGTCACACAGTAATATTAATGTTTTCACATTTAGTGTGTAATTGGGATCCTATCCATGTAGCAATTGTGAGATGAGTCCACTTGCAACAAGAATGTGTGCCTGCTCTTTCCTCCCTTTCTTCTCCCTCCTAGAAATCTTTCCACACCATAGTTTGTGTTTGTTGTGTGATTGTTTGTTTGTTTGGTTGGTTGGTTGGTTGGTTGGTTGTTGTGGGTTTTTCAGGCTCTTTGGCCATGTTCTGAAGGTTGTTCTTCCTAACATTTCGCCAGTCTCTGTGGCCGGCATCTTCAGAGGACAGCACTCTGTGCTCTGGTGTGTGTCCTCTGAGGACAGAGTGCTGTCCTCTGAAGATGCCAGCCACAGAGACTGGCTGAACGTTAGGAAGAACAACCTTCAGAACACGGCCAAAAAGCCCGACAAACCCACAACAACAATTAGATACCGGCCGTGAAAGCCTTCGCAAATATATATTTATTTGTTTGTTTGGCTTTTGTAACACCCATCTAGATGAATCTACTCTGGGTGGTTTACAGTCCAAAAAGGCAATAAAGTTAAAATCATCAATCAAAAGACTAATACAAGCCAAAAACCAGAGGAAAAATTAAGTAGTGACAGGAGGGAAGGCCTGCCTAAAGAGCCAGGTCTTCAGTTTACTCCCCCAACCTTAGTTGATGTTCCCTGGCCTGTTGTGACAGCATAATTACAACCTTTGCTGTGTTGATGCTTCAGTAAGCCTGTTCAATCTCCTAATGCCTTTACTGCAGCATAGTAGGTAGCTCTGTTTTGGTTTACGGATTGGCTTTAGGAGTGATATATTTCTTCAGAAGTTGCCGATTAAAGGCAGGAAATTATTGTTTTGCAGTTGTAGCATAAGAGGTTTTTTTTTAAAAAAAATGCATCACTGTTACTTCCCCCCAAAAAAAATCAGTTACACATATGGGGCTTTCTTTATTTTCTGTTGCAGAAACTAGGATAAGATGATGGTAATCATTTCCCCAACAGAATAGCTGATGAGTCCCATCTTGCCGAAGCGAATGTCAGCTGCTTCATTAGTAGTAAATATGTCTATGTGCTAGAAATGGGCTGAACTTTTCACAAATTTAGGATGGAGTCTTAACAATTCAGGTATTCTAGTAGTTGCAATGATAATTGTTCATATAATTAGTGTTGGTAATTGCTAATAGATCTAGTTTTCTACATAAAGATGAATACATTCTCATTTATCTAATTTTCATGCATATCATCTTCTGTTTTGCATTCCTGTTGTATTTACACTCCACACATGTATCTACTCTTTTGATTTCTTTTGGCTCCTCCTGTAAGCAGATGCTGGTTACAAATCAGTCTGTTCAATATTAAATGAAGACAGGTTTTATCTTTCAGCTGATTGTGAAAACTTGGCAATACAACTTTCTGCATGTAAGAGATGATCTTTACAATGACTTTTAAAATGAAACAATGTGACATTATTCACCCCTTTCCTATACTTTGGTTAAAAGAAACAAACAAATATTTAGTAATGTAAACCTTGGGGTTGCAACTGTAAAGGGAGAGATGTTACATCAGAAGATAAGAATCAGCAAAGTTCAAAACTGGTATTAATTTCATTTACAGTCACTTGCAGTAAAAGCAGAAATGCTGATTTATTTTTTGTAATATTTATTGCAAGTCATATTACCATGTAATGTGATACATGAGGCTGTTTTTGTGAGGTACTGTACTTAGAATAGAGCTGCTGTGGAACAGAATTGTCTGACTCGTTTATATTTAATGGCACTAACATTGTGAGAATTAGTTTGGGGTTTCAAGCAAAGGAAAAAAAGAGGAAAATGACTTATGAAAGTTGCAGAAACTGAAATTACTACACTATGGATATTATACTTTGAACATGAGAAGGCAGGATTCATTGGAAAAGACAGTAATGCTTGAGAAAGGAGAAGGCAGTAGAAGAGGAAGACCTACCAAGAGACGTGTTTTGGAACCCCCAAAATGAAGCCACGGCCTTTAGTCTGAAAGATTGGAGCAGGGCAATTAATGATAGTACCTTTTGCAATATTAGGGTTGTCGTAAGTGAGGAACAAAGGTGCATAACAGCAACATCTATGAAAGGGTTTCATGTTTATAGTAGACTAAATAATATTTACATACAGTTTTACTCTTCCCAACCCAGTGCCCTCCAAGTGTGTTGGGCTGCAATCACAGAATGTGGTAGCCAGCTATGCTGTTCTGGGTGTGGGTTTGGGTGACTTGTAGTTCAGCATAATGGATGGACAGCAGCTAAGGGGCGACTAACAGAGATGTTAGAATAAGGAGTTGAATATATTCATTAGTAAATTCACATGATGTAATTTGCTGAGTAACTTGTAGAAACGTGGACATGTAAAACCTCAGAATAAAACACATATTATGGGAACAGAACAAAAGGATTGTTAATTTCCTGTTTTAGACTGAGGGCAATATCTTATTTAGGAACCTCGTGGCACAGCAGTTAAATTGCAAAACTGCAAAGACTGTTCATGACCTGACTTTGGTCCTGGGCTCAAGTAGCAAGCTGAGGGTTGACTCAGTCTTGGGGGAACATGTGTAGCCTGCATAATTAAATATGAACTGCCCAGAGAGTGCTCTAAGCACTATGGGGTGGTGTATAAGCAGCACACTTTGTTTTGCTTTGCTTATTTAGAGCAGGGGTCTCCAAACGTTTCACGGGGAGGACCACAAAATATATTTAGCCGCCTAGAGTGGTCCTGACCCGACCAGATAGGCGGGATATAAATAAATAAATAAATAAA